TTTTGTTAAGTTGCCTAATAATTATGCACAGTAATAGTCACCTGCACACACAGATATCCCCCTAAAATAGCTAAAACTAAAAACAAACTAAAAACCACTTCCAAAAACATTCAGCTTTGATATTAATAAGTTTTTTGGGTTCATTGAGAACATGGTTGTTGTTCAATAATAACATTATTCCTCAAAAATACAACTTGCCTAATAATTCTGCACTCCCTGTCACTCAGTCACAGAATTCCTCATTCCAGATACATCTAGACACATCACACAGACACACCTTAAAGTATGAGTATATATTTTTAACTTGATGTGTTAACAATGTTTCAGTCTTTTACAAAAACACAGATGACTCACCCATCAGAGCTTCATCTTTCAGGCCTCACGCTCACAGAGTCATAGCTCAAGTCCAAAGTCCCAGGGGTGCACTTGTCCTTCTCGTTTCTCTCCTTCCTCTTTTCAGCAACAGGTTTTTTTTGTTTTGCTTGCTAAAGATAATTTAAAATACCACTTCCCCAGCTAATTACTCTGTAAGCCACTTGCCAAAAAAAACCTAATAAATTGCTGCGTAGTGGAAGTCACCCGGGTTTGTGAGCATTTTGCACAAATGACAGGGAGCAAGGTCAGGAAGTATGAGTGAGATATTTTCCAGCATGCCCCACCGCCATTAAAACTTTTCTGCAAAGGAGTGTGGAGTGTAAAATGACCGTGAAGTGACACCATATCTATCTATCTATCTATCTATCTATCTATCTATCTATCTATCTATCTATCTATCTATCTATCTATCTATCTATCTATCTATCTATCTATCTATCTCAATTTGTGTCATTGTTTGGCTGTTTGTGTGTGCACGTATGTGTCTTCATTTGGCTTTTCCTGTAATGTGTCACATATTCTGCTGTAGTAAACCCCATCAGCATGACTTTTTGGGCTTGATCTTTAAGAAGAAGAATACAAAAACAAAAGGAAGGTACTGGGAGCTCATTATCTGCGATTATAAAACTTACATTTTGTGTTTATTTATCAAAGATTTTCTATTTTTTACTGTGGACTCACTGTAAAGGCCTTTACACACTGGACACTTAAAATTCATGCAAATATTTGAATATTAATATATGATTTTATGATCTTAACAATAAACTAATAACAATAAGAAGCGATTTTTCCAATCCAAATAAACAAATGTGACCAATCAGACCACTGCATTTGGCAACATGTACACTGCAGTTCTAAACACCACCCGTACTGAATACACAAATAGTAAAATTATACTATTTTGCCTGAGACACGCAGCTAGACATTCCAGGTCAACTGGCTATAAAATTTGACAGTTTAATGGTTTGTTTTTACTTCCTTAATAGTACGCCAGGCAGATATGCCATTTGTCTTCTTACGGTATGTCAGAATGAAGGCTATAAAAACAAACAAAAATACAGTTCAAATTTTTTGACCTCTTGCTTTGTAAGTTGCACATTTTCTAAAGAGGACCTGTGGGCCGGGTTGGGTGCCTTTGACGGCCGCTTCTGGCCCCCTAACCATATTTTTGAACCCCCTTATGAGCAGCCGGCGATCGGAGGATCACGTCAGTCGTCGCAGAAGACGCGGGGGGACAGTAGAAACTGTAGGCCGGGTCTTAGAGGGCGTTATTAACAGGAATAACACTAGCACCGCCCGTCCGGGCTGCCAGCGCCGCCGCGGCTGCTGTTACTACCTCACCCACTCGCGTGACTCCACAAGTGGGCGTCACGCACCTTATCCGGTTAATTTACATACTAACACCGCCCAGGGGGACGAACATGGTAATTTACCGTCGGCTGAGAGCTAGTCGTACGAAGGAGGGGAGAGAAGAACAGCTGAAACAAAGTTTGAACGACAGAGGTTTGTTTTAAACCGAGCGGAGTGTTTCGACACGCACACACAGGCGCTCGTCGGGCTCTTTGCCCCACTTTTGGATTACGATATGGACGCTTTGAAATCCGCCGGAAGGGCAATTATACGGAGCCCCAGCATCGCCAAACAGTCCTGGGGTGCGGGCAGACATAAAAGTAAGTATTCGCCGTCTCATTGCACTCATGTGTTATCCAGTAGCTGGTGCTAATTTGGCTACACCAAAGCTAACTTGGCTAAGAAGAGCTAGCCTCCACAAGTAGCTAACTGTAAAACCGGTGGTCTCCGAGCGTTACCTAGCTACAGTTGTCGTAGTGGCGTGAACACCTAGCAACCCGAATAGTTTCACATCAGGAAACGTTTAGTGAGGGGATTGAACTTGACACTGAAACTGACAGCAGCGCCCCGCAGCTCGTAAACTGACTCCCTGTGAGGCTCGGAATAACAAGTTCAGCCTCCACGCCGGCTCCCTGCCCACTCCGCTGAGTTTATTTTGGAACAGAGGCGCAAACAAAACGTGTCAAAAGTTTGAGGAGTGCTGCTGTTTTTCCTGCCACGTCGCTCAGACGCGCTCGGAAACGTGCAGGAGAGGATCGGTGGGAGCTAAAACACTGTAATCTGGACTTTAAGGAGGCAGGAGCAGGCACGGAGAGATGAGCGGTCTCCTTCCTGGCAAGCCTTTACAAGCCCTACAACTCACTCTGTTGCTAGGCGATGCACACTGGGAAACACAAAAATGAGGAGGCTGTGTTAAAGGGGGGATTCTTCAAACACCATGGAGGTGTCTTTAGGATGCACTATGATGGCGATGCTCTTCAATCGTCGCATGCATGCTCAGCTGCCTTGCACAAAGAGTGGGGGGTTACCCCCTGCTCCCCATGCCTCTCTGGCTTTTTTTTAAATTTTGTTTCACAGACAATGGAGCTGTTGGCTTGACCGTGCTTACACGTGCCAGACCAATCGATGCTTTGTTTTGGGAGTGATGCACAATCAGCAGGGTCCTTCCACATGCAGCAGCATGTGGAAGCAGCAGCTACGCAGACCCCTCCATGAATAATCGATCAGCTCAGCTGATAATGGAGTTTCCCCTCCATGTGGAATCTGTGGCAGAGGTCACACCTCTAAGTCTTTTTCAGAGGTTTTGAGTTTTATCTGGATGTTTTTAAAAATGAGAAAAGTTGGCAGAACTCCTGAGGAGCCTTTTTTAATGCTTTAAGATTGTAACGGTCTTTCAGAGGTGTAGAAATGATAATCAAATGATCACACCATGAAATGCATTTTAAATGCATTATATTTGTAGACATGACAGAATAAAGTAATCCTGAAACCAAGAAATTTGCTAGAAATCATTGATTACTTTCACTGTGGTGTAAAATACACAAAATGCTGGATGTACAGCTACATTTTACATATATATGCTAAAATTCTGGTCCGCATCAGTAAACTACTCACTATTGTGAGACTTGGCCTGTGGTTCGACAGACTCCAGCTCCACCGTCTGGAACTACAGCTGGAGATAGTAGTCCTTGCTCTTCTTTGAAGATCTGCTGTGAGCTGCAAGGTCTCTCTAACCAGAACCTGGAGCAGGTGGAGTGCTGGTTCAGGTGCCCCTAAACTGAGCAAATGAAGCATTACAGGTAAAAACTATTCTTTAAGCTGGTGGAGTCTGAGTCGATCCACAGGTTGAGACATTAGCTCTGTTATCTATTATCGCATTTACGGTATGATTTGTTCATGTATTTAAGAAAGCTACATCATTTATTGAATTCTGGGAAGTTAGCTAGTTCTTGTTAGGAGGAATTGTGAACTTTCAAGTCTCATCTCACCACGTGGGATAGGCAGCAGCTTAAGTAAGTTCTAAGACTTTTTTTTGCCTACATCATGATACTGGGCACATCCTTTAGGCGTGATCACTTCTGTCTTAAAATGAATTTTGGATATAATTATATTTGAACACCTATCAGTGTACCTTGCTTTTAGTATAATGCTGCATAATCCTGTCTTTCCTGTGGGACCAGGAGCTGAGTTTATGGCACCAGCTAAGCATCTCGCATTAAATACTGTAATTACTGATATTTAAATATAATCATTATTTATCACTCTTGTCTCGGTGAGTGATTACCCACTCTCAGCGAGCTCTGCACTCTCCTATGTTGCTACCACACTGATGGTCATTAACCTAGCCCCTCGCTTTACAGCTTTACTGTTCTAACATGACAGTAAATAAACCCCACAACTGTAAACATAATGAAACAAACAGAAAATATAATTGATATGAAGTGGGCTTAATATTTTAGCCAGTGTCCATACGAAGATACTCTAACTCTGGATGCAACAATATCAGCAGATGCATGTAATATGAATGGGTACTGTGAAATGATACTTACTTAATCTACAAAATAGGAGTGAATTAAAAAAATAATTTAAATCAAAAAGGAATAAACTCACAAACTCAAAATATGTTAGCAGAATTTCTAGTTTGTGTGTTTGTGTTAAGTGACAGACATCTCTGTTTTTGTTTGCTTGAATCTGCCCCATACACCGAACAATTAGAGTAATGTTTGTGAACACAGTCGCTGGAGTGCTTATCGCTTCTAACAGCCAAGGAGGAGGACTACAACCTATATCTGGAATCCAGTAAAGTTATTTTTGAAACCTACCACAACACTTTCTTATTCTTTCCTGTCTGTGCATGACAAACTGTGAGCTTGCTCTTCTTTACTGATGTTAGATGGTGTTAGAAGATCAACCTGATGTTCACAGCCACCACCCAGTTTGAAGTGACCAAAGCAGAATTTTTTCATTTATCTTGCCCAACATGTATTTCTGTCAATTCACATCAAGTTTTGTTGCTTTAATGTGTCCCATACACCACACGGTTACCGTTTATTAACATCTGAGCACTGACCTGAAGTTATTAATCACTTCGGAGTGTTCAAACTGTACACTGTTCTTGGATACACAAACACCAGAAGCCGCATCCAGATAAGTCTCAAGATCTCACTTTCTGTCACGTTGATGTACCCCATATACTGTACAGCTATCGGTAATATCAGAACAGCACCATCGATTTGGATCTTTAATCACTACAAGAGACTCGGTCATGGAGGGCTGTTACTGCGCTGTTTTCAACCACACAAACACTGGAAACCAAATTAGACATCCACCAAACTCAAAATCTAAACACAATATGTACCAAAATAATAACACTGCTAACTTAAGATTTTGAAGGTAAGAGTTCAAACCACAGGTCTTTGTTCTTACTAATGCATATGTTACATTTTTAGAAACAAGTACGCAAATCTTTACTCATTAGTGTGGTTAAAAAACCTCTCAACATAAGTAAGTATACTTTAAACTTTGTATTAAGTTGAAGGCATTTCTCACACAGTGTAGTCAGCCTTTTTAGAGCAGCTGTTTATATTGTTTGATTCTTTCACCTACATTACTAATTTATTTGGGGTTCCTGTTTTTGTGTATGATCAAACAATGCGTCACCTTCCCCTTTTTTTCCCAATCTGTTAATATAATCTTACACTTGGCTGTTTTGGTGCTGTGAGTAAAAAGCAACTTGTCATCCTGTGGTGTTGATAGCTTCTCTAAAGTGTACCCTGCTTTTAAACATGACATTCATGCAGGGTAAGAATTAAAGGTTCACTTAACCTCGTGCCCTCTGGCTTGGATTGTATTGCCTTAAAGGCACAACATTTCAGTCTGTATATGCAATTAGGGTAAAGTTTTGCCTTTTTACAGTCTTGTTCCTCCCGTGTGTGGGCTTGGCCTTGTCAGAGCAGCCTATTCACAGCATTGGCATGCATCAACACTGAATTCCTCTTCTCCTACTGTCAGTGGTAGATCATAACAGGTGCTGTTATTGTGTTCATTAAGCTCCTGTGTCTTTGAATGCTTGCCGTTTGTCAGCCTTTTAGAATAGCCTGACGTCAGTGCTTGCTTCGTTCCCTTTGCCCTGCTTTTTGCATTCGTTTCCTGCATATCTTTAAAGAGCATGCTTTCTTTCTTGGCTTTCCTGCGCTGCCCTCTCATTACATCGACATAGTTTGGATTTTTTTCCTGGTAGGTGGTAGAGTGGTATGTAACATTAGACCTCTTTTTAGGTCATGAAAGCAATGTGTTTGTGTGCATGTGTGAGTGAGACAGGAAATCCCCACCTATATGAATAAAACATTTTCTTCTCATGGTCAAGAGGCTGTCTCCTCTGAGGTTATTGGTACTGACACTGCTAGATTACCGAATGTCTGAGTTGACCAGACTTGTGTGTGTGAGAGTGTGGACTACGTTTCATTTAAGACCTTTATGTGGAAACCAAAGTTGATGTTGATCAAAGTTATCATGATGTGTATTTCTACACCTTTTTCAGATAGTACTGCATGTTAAACTGTTATTATCGTGGATTAATGTCAGCTGCCTTGTTGGTTTGAGGAAGCCACCCGTCTCATGATTCAGTTGCTTGTAGATTCACATAAAGCAGGAACAACTTGAAGTATTTGCTTTCTGTTGAAGTTTATCAGTCTCTCACATCAACTTCATTGTGACTGATGATTGCATTGAATGTTTTTCTCTACACTTACAAGTAGTTATGGCAACCAAATGGGCAACCTAGAACCTTTTACTATATATCTCTCCTGGTGAGAGGCAGCCTTTCTCCAAAGAAGCGCGGTCTGACTTGAACTGACTGCAATCCCTCTCAGTTGGATCAGTGAAGGTTTGCATGTAACTGTGGAGGAATTTGTTTATTTTTCCAGATCTCTGAGGTTCTGTCTGGATTGTGAATACAGAATTTATAAAATAATATGAATTTTTTGTTTACGCAGATGGTTACAGGCTAGTTAATCGTTGTGTTATTGCAAGCAGATTGCATGCAATTGTCTGCTTGACCACATTTAATCACAGACTGATACGAGACTGTTTTGTTGCCAATTTATTGCCAACTTTATGCATCAAAATAGCATTGAAGACAGCACCTGACATGCCTGTCTTTAAAACAACCATTTCAAAGGCAATGTGATCAGAAGTTTATTCCACATGTCACAATAATCCTGGTTGCAACAGGGTCTCTAACCAGTTTTTTCCCTTGTGTGAGTGTAGCCAGGTTTAGGTCTGGACTTTACTGGTGTAATTGCGACATGCTGTCAGAGAT